AATAGCCCCGCACCGGCCGGAGGAAGTGACTGCGGCAGGTGGTGTCCTCGGCTCGCCGCTCGCGCCCCAGCAACCCCTTTTTTCCTCTGCTGACTTTCTTCTCGTGCGTCCTGCCTTTGTTAAACGTCAACTGACTGGTTAGCGAGCGTTCAAATTTTCTTTTGAGGCGGGAGAAATAGAACCGGAAAGGGATTTTTGCTTTATTTTTGTGCGGGAGGTGTATTTTAGGTGCAGTTTTGAAAGCGTTAACAGGAGGCAGCCGGGAGCCGTGTAACACTGGGCACTGGGAGAAACGGTCTCGCCGTTCTTCTGACCGCCCTCGTGTTGGGCTGCAGTTCGGTGGTAGCTCAGGTGGGTCGTAGCAGCTCTTCCATGGTGGTGGCAGGAGGTGCGTGGAAGGATCTGGGCGTGCTCTCCCGGCTTGTGCTGAATAGTGCCTTGCACTGTGAGCGGCCTCGGGAAAATAAATGGGGCTTTTTGTGCAGTAGGGTGGTGCTCAGAGTAAATAAGGATATTGCAGTCTGGACCGTGTGAAATGAGTTTGATGGTGTCAATAAACAAGCTTCCCCCTGACACAAAAAGCATCATTGTGTTTGGATTGGTTTTCGGCCTCAGCAAAGAGGCGAAGCGGTTTGGGGCAGGGAGAATAAAGGCACTTGTGCTGCCGAGATCGTTTCCCTCTGAGATGGTGGGGAGCCCTTGCTTGAATTGATTGCCGTTGTCGGAGTGCTTTGAGGGGAGAACCGCAGTCTTACTGCGTGAAGAAAAACTGAAAGCAAGGACAGGCCTGTGCCGCAGGTATTGTTTAGCGTCTCCCTGTCTTTACGCTTCTTCCTTTCTCCCTAGATGCGAGAGCTGCGTGGAGCTGCTGTTTGTAAGAGGGGCCGGGAATTGCCAGGAGTGTGATACCCCCTTGCGGAAGAGTAACTTCAGGGTGCAGCTCTTTGAGGATCCTGCCGTTGACAAGGAAGTGGAAATTCGGAAGAAGGTGCTGAAAATGTGAGTGCCATCAGTTCAGCAAGCAGAACCTGGATGATTTCATGGATCACCATATTCACAAATCGACTTTTTTCCTTGAGTAGAGGATAACAGGGCAGACAACTTGGTTCAGTTTAACTCTGAAGGATTTTGGAGAATCTGACTTTATGCAACGACCGAGGAATGAAGGCTCAAGTTAGCCTTGAGGAATTCCTGCTTAATGTTTAGAAAAAGTTGGGTTTTCTCCGTATGGCAAAGGCTTGCCTCCTAAATGGAGATGATTAGATTTTGAGGACTACAATGCTTTCCCTTTGAGGGGGTGAAGGACAGAATGGGGCAAGAATCAGGATCTTGATAGTTATGGTGCCTGGGGACCTGGTCTGAGAATCAAGGGCTAATTCCCCTTCAAAATGAAGATGGACATGCATGTTTGCATGTCTGCATTGTTTTCTATTTCATGCAGCAAGTATTGGTAGCAATGCTTCTTTAACAAGCCTTATGTTACTAGTCTGTCATGCAGATTTGAAAGCTCTTGGAATTGCGATATTTTACATCTAAAATTACATCTGACTTCTTGTGGGCAAGGAATGACCTTTTTGGGGGGAAAATAAGAGGGTCGGTTGATGTACTGGTGGAAGAGGACCTAGTGGAGTGTAATGACACTGGAGAGTTGTATGTGTGAAAACAAATGTACAGGTAAACTGTAAGCTTGGCAGCCTTTATCTAAGACTTAGTACAGTATCAAATGCGACGTATGATGTTGCTGAGGTATAGGGAAATTGCCTTATTGAATACCAAGATGTATCTGCATCTGATGTGGAAAGTAGTATCCTTTTGAGGTTTGATTATAATATCTGCTGAAGTTAACAGAAGTCAAACTGAATGAAGTCAGCCTCGTCTCAGAACTTAAACATCACATGAAACACCGTTAGAAAAGAAAACGTAGAATACTTGGTCCACTTGGATTTTCCAGATTAGTTTTCAGTTGGCAGAAAAAATTTCCCTAAATTGGAATTTGGCCTCAGTTCTGGGAATTAGATTTTTTTTTTTTTAATATTCGTAGGTGTCATGTAGCTTTAAAGGTCTGCAGGAGCAGGCAGAATCTTAACTTTATCTTTTTGGGAAAAAAAGTTGCATGTCTTGATTCCCAGAGCCTGTCCATGTTCTATCTAAATTTATTATCCCTTCACCTTTTCACTCTGTTCAGATAGTGGGAGTTCCATAAATGAGTTTTGGAATGATCTGTTGATATGAAATGAATTAATTTCGTAGCATTTTAAATTTCCTGCTAACATAAGCTTTCTGTTGTTGGCACAAAGCCAAAACCCCTTTTCTAGTATTTCTAGAAAAACTTTTCTTGTGGGTGTTACTGTTATCTTTGCCTTTAGCAGGCTTTCTGTGATGAACGGATGGCTTGGGATTACTATATGCTAGCCATGTGACCCTGGCAAACAGTAGGCAAAGACAGGACTGACTTATGCCAGACTGGCTCCTTTCCTTTGAAACAAGCACTTCTGTCTCCTTTTAAAAGATTCTGTACGTTGGTCAGCTGTGGGAGCCACAAAGCACATTGATGATAAAATTAGGTCATTTTTAATATGCTTTTGCAGCAAGAGCCTTGTTGAAATGAAAATTCATCTTTGTGTGTTATATAAATAATTGTTTCTCTTCTCTTAAAGATACAATAAAAGAGAGGATGACTTTCCCAGTCTGAGCGAATATAATGATTTCCTGGAAGAAATAGAAGAAATTGGTAAGTCTTAATGCTTGCATTTTTGATGCGCTGTGCTCGTGAGACCATAGGCTTTTATCTTCTGACTCAGCTGCCTATGAGAATGCCTAAGTTGAGTTTCTTTAATAGGATTTATCGTAGTATCTGATGATTATCTAATTACTTTCTCTATACATTTTTAATCATATTTGCTGAACTGTGGGACATTGTTAAGTAAAATGTTTTATCTGCCAGAGAAAAATCATGATACAAAGAGGATGCGGTGCATTGTAGTTGGAAAAGAAAGGCTTGCAGGGGATTGTTGGTGCTGCACTGAGAAAAATTAAGCAGAGAGAGGAGCAACTCAAATTTTCATTATATCCTCCATTAGCTTTATCTACCATGACAGAAGCCATATGGTGTCTTTCATCATTTTTGCTTCTGCAAGTAGAGTAGTTGAAGCTACTTTGAAGCTGATGACCTTACATACCACTGTAGTAGCGTTTTATGCTGCTGTGCAGGAGAAGGTGGTTTAGGAGCAGACACTGATTTCTTTCTCTTTGCATTAGTTGAAGGAGAGCTTTGCCCTTTGGAAAGGGACTATGTTATCAACAGAGTTTTTTCTTCTTTCTTAGGGTGACTTGTGATTTATGGTGGAGTGATGGAGTTTGCCTAAAAAAACATGGATGTATTCAAAGGAGTCGATCTTAAATGATTTGTTTCTTGGTTTTATGAGCTTCTGAGCCTTCTCCCCCCCCCCCCCCCCCCCATTCCCTTTTTTCCTGGAAGAAGAAGAGGTGGCTCAGAACATGCAGTTTGAAGGAAAACATGGGGCTATTGCTCCCTTTGTTTCTCAGAGGAGCCCTTGCTCTTCTTTGGACTGTGGTGTTTTGTAGAAATGCGTTCAATATATTTACTGCTGTGAGTAATGTGTCGTGTTTTTGTTGGCATCAGAAGGCTGAGGCTGGAGAGCTAAATGGTGTGGCTGGGAAACACCAGGCACACTCGTACAGATATCTGGAGGAGACTATGTGGGTGTAGTTCTGTTTGCATGTTTTTTTGGATGGTGTGGGGGAAGTAGGGAGTGAGCAGAAAGAAGGGTTGCAACTTAGCAAGAGGATGCTGGAAGAATCTGTGTGCTCATGGAAAGGAAAACTACTTTTTATTTACGTAGCATTTAGTAAAGGTTTCCCACTTACTGCTCCTACGTAGGTTTTCAGTGTCTACAACAAGGGAGTTTAAGTTTTGCCTGAAATTGCCTGAACCTCATTAATTTGTGCAGTGCTGTGATTTTCCAGCTCTTGGGATTAGGTTTTTAAATTTCACATGGATCCAGAGCCTGTGCTAGTAACTTGGTTTAGAAGTGGCAGAATTCACGGTGGGTCTTCATAGCGTGGTGAGGAAAAGCGAATCCATCTGCAATTGTGCTGGTCCTGCAAATGCATAACGTAAAAGCTCAAGGGAAGGAATTTTTAGGATTTGGAGCTAGCTGCTGGAAGGGGTCACCTACTATGCTAAAAGGATTTAGAAAGGCTGAGTATTTCCTAGTTTTCCTGTGTAGCAGTCAGGGTAATCAGAGGAAAGAAGAGGTGCAATTAAGAAGGCTCTTCATTTTCACTACCTACGAACTTTAAGCAGATCCAGAAGACAGAGGGCTGGTAAGGTTCAAGAACAGCACCTTGTGGTAAGAATTCAAGCCCTCTTCCGCTTGTCCCAGTGACAAAGCTTCTTGCACACATCTTGCTTTCTGACTTGTTGGTCATTCCTGTCTCCCTAAACTCATCCCTGCTTGTTCTCCTGGGCCGAGCTCTCCAGTTGACGGTTGTCTGGCATGTAGCAGAAGCAGCGTGACTTCTTCCACCGTTCTTGCTGCACATGTTGAATGTAGCATGGCTGAACAATGTGTTAGAGGTGTCTTAAAGTCTGCACGGTTGCTTAACGTTTTACTACTGGAAGAAGTTATTATTTCACGTTTTTGTATGTGTGAATTCCCTGCTCGTTTGTGCAAGTGAGAAACTGGGCTGCAGGGAGGGAAAGAAAGAGCGTAGTCATGCAGAGCAAAGCTTTGCCTTGTGGGGATAATGTATAACACTTGGCAAGAGCTGCTGGTGGTTGTTAAAACTAGCAGGTTAGGAAGCTAGGGGGCAGAGAACCAGATTTCCCCCTCCTTCCTTCCCCCAGCCCCCAAATTCTCGATTTTTATGTAGGAGGGTCAAAGTGACAGAAGGTTCACCCTAGGGCTGTTTCCTCCTTGCTGGTAACTTCTGTTTCTTTAGTTGTTGGGTGGGGGGGGGTGTGTTAAATTGAAATAATTGCTTGGTGGAGGCGAAATATGAAAGTTTTGTGTTTTGCTGTTCTTCCAAATGTTTCGGGTAGATCAGCTCCAACAGCAGTGGCAGTTGGCCAGCCTTACTCACTTGATGTGATGCATGACCTCACTTGAAATATATTTTTTAACCTTCATATCAGGTGTATTATACCTATGGACATTTTCTATTTAAAAAAAGTGTTGGGTGATACAGCAAAAGAGTTGGAGGGGGGAGGAAAGTTCGAACAAACATTATGGTAGTCACCTCTTAAGACCTCCATTATAAAAAACACATTTTTGAAGTGGTTTAGAATGTAGCTGCTAAATAATGCTTTTGGTTAAAAGGTGTTAGACAAGACTTTAAATAGAAACTGCATTTTAAAGCAAGTTTTCCCCAGAAGAAAAGTCAGTTGGGCAAGCTGAGAGCATTGTAAATAGTTCATTGTCACTAACACTGTGAAGAAAAATGGTAAGTGAAAGGGTTAAATTCTGCCTTTGGAAAAGGTGTGTGCAAACATATATTGAAATGAGTGAGGTAGCTGTGCCCTTGTGATGAGAGGGGCAAGGTTAGACCTTAAAGGAGTTTTGCTGCAGGTCGCAGTCTCCAGGCATCAGGCAAGCTTTGCTTGTTCTTCCTACAAGGTTTTCTTCTTCCTGAATGTCTCCTTAGCCGTTTTTTAAAACCTCCTGTGAAAACTGTCCGTAAAAGGGCCTGGCTCTCAGCACGTGTGTACACGCTGCTTGGTGCACGGGTCCCCTGGTTCCTGAATGAGGCCTCCAGGCATGACCACAACACAATTGTTGAAAGTAATTATTACTTTTTAAAACTTTCAGTACATTCAGCTGGGAAAGAGGCTACCAGATACGTGCCTTTCAGATTCCCGTATTGTTACTTTTCTAAGATTTTGAGCAATACCAGCCCCCCGGTGGCTTGCGTTTTTGCAAGAAACCCTTGAATAGGAAGGATTTTACTATCTCTAATTACTTGTGGGTTATACTGTGTACTGTTTGCAGCTTTTTTCCTCTCTGTGCGCATAAGGATGGTTATGATGTTGCCAGCAATGGGAATAATCCAACTGGAAATCACTCAGCTTTATCAAAGGTCCTTTTCAGTCGTCTGCTCCAAACAAAGATTTCAGTACTGTACCTGTTACAGCGCAAGTGATCTTTCTTAGACCTAATAGGGGTGAGTGATTGGAAAACCATTCAATACTGTGCCAGGGTGTCTTTCCTCGCGACAGTAATTTTCCAGAAAACCAACTGAGGATGAACAGAAAGAATTATTAGTATGTAACTTTTTTTCCCGTGGCCTAGCTATAAGTTTTCTTTTATTTCTGATAGTTGTTTCATAGTGAAAACAGAAATTTTGGCTGGAAGGGACCTTTCAAGGTGGTCTAGTCCCTCTCCCTTCCCCTCCTCCTCCCCCAAAGTAAGGGGACAGAGGTTGGACAGGACGTCAAAAACACCAGCAGAAGATGCTGCAGCAACATTGGATTCTTAGAGTGGACTGAGGATTTGGTTGTCCGTCTGCCTTTCTAGTACTCTGCCCAAAGCAGTTGCTCTTCTGCCGTTCCCAGCCTCTAGCTGGCACTTATGAAGATAATAATTGAAGCTGTTTGTAGTAGGGTGGGAAGAATATGGTTTATGACAAACCTAATATTTATTAATTAACTCTCACCATGCTCATACTGGTGTAACGTGGATTGAACACTACATTTTGCAAGATAACCATGTGCAATCTTGGTCCGTCTTAATATCTCTTAGGCATCTGCTGTGTCTGGTCAGTGCCTCCGAGTAGCTGAATTCAGCAAGCGTACTTCATAGCTAGGAACAGAGAGGGTGGAAGGAGGAGGTTGTAAGTGGGTTGTGGACGAGTGAAAAATGAACAACATAGAAACTGCCTTTATAGGTCATTGGTCTAATCGTCTGCTATCTCACCTGAGAGGGCATGCTCCTACTCTTTGAATGGCAAGTACATATACATGCTAACTTTACTGTCTATTAAGGAACTGGGGAGAAGTCTTGGAGAATATGCAACATCTCGGAGTAAAGTGGGGAGATTTTGATGAATCTATTTAAAGTTCTACAGTGGACTGTTGTTCTCTTACATTGCTGCACCTCTAGATAAATTATTGTGCCATGTAATTCAAAATTTTGTCTCAAATTTTCTTCTTTCTTTTATAACAACTAGAAGCATATTTTTCCTTTTCTTATAGAATTGCAGAGTGAATGTTTCTTTTTTTTTTTTTTTTTTAAAAAGAAAAAATTAAGCCTCCCTGTAAAGGTTGAATTTCAGAAGAACAGAGTTTTACCTAAATAGAATGAAATGTTTCAGAAAAACACAATAGTCTTCCTGTTGTACTTCAACAGATGTCTCAAGGCAAGTCAATTTATAAACCAACCAATGTGAGATGGATAAGTAGATAAATAATTGTTGCATACAAAACAGCTTCTGTTCCCTTTCCCTGAAGGGTTTTAGGCCTCTTATATCGGCTTATGCTATATTTCAACATGGACAAAAATAAGTCTGGCTTCTCTTTGAAACTTTTTCAAACTAGCCATCTGCTTTGCCAGTCATAGTCAGATCTATACCAATATTTTTTCAGGGTAGGTGTAGCAGTTAGGCTTTTAACTCTTTCTGCTCCTCCTAGTTTTATAATCTATTTTGTTGTTTTTTAAATTGGAAACCTTGTAAGAATGATACTAAAAGTAAAATTCAGACAAACCCAAAGCAGTCCAGATCAGACAATACTGCAAAGTTTTATCTATATGAAAGGTATGATGTTGTATATGACATGTTTGTAGTGACTAATCTTTGGTTTGATACTTGCCAGTTTTTAAATGCCAGATAACTTTTGCAGGGGACAAGGGAAAAGAAGGAAATAATCTCTTAGTTATCCTTCATGACCTGGTCCTTTACCGAATGGACTTACCAGTTGTAATTGTAAGCTTATAATCATAAGAATCTGTATTCCCTAAATATCGATGAAAAAACATTTGAAGCTCATGAAAAATATACCAGAAAATGTTCTGCAAGATACTTGAGCTGCCTAGCTGGCCGCTGATAGCAACCATGCAGCATCCAAGAGCATAGTTTGTCTTGCTGCTAGGCTTTTGTGGTGGGAGGGAGAATGTTTTTTTTCACTTATTCAGGGACAGCTGTTGACACTGCTCTTGGTATAGAGACATCCAGCTCTTAACACTGTCACAGCAAAATGTACCTCTTCAGTATTTTGAGTCTTGAAATCTGGATCACATAGTGCTGAGGAGCAACAGCTAAGGGTACAGTTATGGGACCAAGAAGTGTTCCTCTTTAATGCATGCCTATGAGTTGTTACCTAGTGGGAGAAATCTGTTCTGATCTTTGAGGATATAGGAAGTTCGAACCTTCCTAATTGCTGGAGTCCTGCTGCATCCTCAAATGAGGAAGTACAAAAAGTATGGCAGAGCAAAGTCAACATGGTGCAAGGAAACACGATAGTTGAGGGGATTTTATTTGTAGTGAGAATCCACTGGGGCAGTTGTTTCTGGCCATAGCAGGGAAACAGGAGGAGAAATAAACCTTCTTTCACCTTACTCCCAGCAGAGCTGCAGGCAGTAAAGGCCAGGCTATGCAGCTGGTTATTGAAGATTCTTTAAACACTGATGCAGAAATAGGTCTCTTGCATGGAAATGTTATTTCATACCAAGTTACAGGATAAACGAGCTTTTGTAAGTAGTCCTGGATAAGTCCTGCCTGCCTGGATAAAGGCAGGCATCTGTATTTGTGCAAGCATCTGTATATGTGCAAAACTTGCCTCGCTTTACTCTGTATACATTTTAAATTTTACAACTTTGTGGTTTACAAACAGAGATTGTGACTTGTTGAATGTATTAATGACAACTAAGAAAGAAAAAAAAAAAAAAAGTTCAGCCAGCAATAGTTAAAGAACCTAGGTCACTGGCTTATTGCTGGATTATTTTTAGAGGAATACCTAAGATGTGCAGGAGCCCCAAAGGCATTTGGCTTCTCAACTTGTTCCTCCACTTGCACCTGAAGGTGGCATCTAGGCATCCTGCAAGCACAGCATGTCTCATGTGCTATTTCTTTCTTGTGTCGTCATTGAGGAGTTTAGAGAGTTGGTGTGTGGATTTAAGTTGTAGGAAGTGCTGACATTCCCATGCAGCTGCTGTCATTGCAGAGCCCTGATCTGACTCTATGCCAGCGTTTTCACATGACAATTCTTCTCTGCCATTATACTCAAATATTAAACTACTTGTCGGCTGGAAACTGTAGACTTGAAAGTTGGAGGTCAAACCAAGACTAAAATATATTTTCTTAAGGAAATGCTGCAACAACTAGGAACTGTATATTTATTGTGATATGAAATTGGAAAATGTTGTCATGCCTTTTGGAGAGGGGGGAAAAAAAAAAAAGTAGTTGAGATAGGTAACTTCTTCCACAAACCAAAGAGCTGAACTTTGAAAGTCAGGGAGCACTCAGTGTGACTTGCTTAGGTTATACCAGTGCCTGGAGGCACCACCTGAGATGAGATCAAGACCACTGAGGTAGAACCTGCACATAGCTATGGTAAGTAAGCTCAGCTGGCAACATATAGGAGAAAGGGAGCATTATTCCCTGCCCCTAGTTTTTACAGAGGGGAGACCTCTATAAAGGTCAAGTGATAGAGGTCAAGTGGTTTGCCCGGGATCGGTAGCAAAGCTGGAAATTGAACCCAGGTCTTGATTTTCAGTCAAATGCTTAAACCACAGAACAAGCCTGCTTCCCACCTCACTTTGGAAGTCGGGAGGGTGGGGGATAGAATTCAGCTGTTCTAGGAGTCAGGCTGAATTAAAATGTCAGTCCTTTGATATTGCTCATTATTTGGTAAAGAAGAAAAAAAATACACGCAGCACTTTTTATTTGTTTGCTTAAGGTTAGGAGTTTCTTCAGCTCTGTTCTACCCAGCCCCTTTTTCTTGCAGTTCAAGGAAGAGTTGAGTACTCTTGATAGGAGTAAGAGGATCTGTTGGTTCAGTACTCTTGGAAAGAGTAAAACTTCCCTTGTACCAGGTCTGGCACTTGTCCGACCCTCTTGCTGAGCCAGGTCAAGTTGCTGAAAGGTTTCTGTTGACGCTGCACGGGGTCTGGAGAGGCCCAGAATCGGAACAGGGGAGAGGGCCAGGCTTGCATCTTGGAGTTGGGGTGTGAGAGCAGGACCGGCCTTTCTGGCAATAGTGAGCTGCTGTACAGCTGGATTAGTCTAATTGAACTGTATCCCACGGGTTGTGGTGTTTTGGTCCTCTCCCACCTCCTGTTTTGTACTTCACCAGTGATGCCTGCTTTGAAACCTGTGTTTCTTTTGCTGCTCTCACTGCTCTGTCAGTCTAGGCTATTCATAGTTTGTGGAAGATCCTCGCTGCTTCTATTTGGCTTATCCAGAACCCTCCTACAAGTTTGTTTCTGCCATGTTACCTGAGCAGAGAATGACAGAAGAAAGGGTGTCAACCTTTATCAAACCGACATGTATGCTATTGTACTGGGTAACAACACAGACTCTGTACATCTTCCTTCTAGCAGCCTGACTTGGCACAAGTACAGGTGAGCAAAGTTCATTTTGGCCCCAGTCACTTGAGAGCCTAGGAACAGAGGACTGAACCGAAAGTCCTGCATTGGCGTTTTCACCCCCTTCCGTTCTTTAGGGGGTGGCCCAGGGCTATGGCTATGTCATTCCTTGCATGCAAAGGGTTTATCAATAGCAGTGCACGTTTCTCTGCTTCTCTTATAAATGCACTCTGGCTGTGTGGCAAAGCTCTTAAAGGTTTTGGTGAAGACTACTAGTAAGCCTGTGGTCTGTGATAGCTTTAGGGAGATGGGCATCAGCCCAGCGTCCGCTCTGGGTGGTGATCACCAAGTGACTTGCCAGTGATAATGGTGTTCAGTTGAATTCACTTGACCCGCAATTGAACCAGTGACCTGGAGGTGAGAGGCTCAGGCTCTATATTGAATTACTAATCATCCAAACCATCTACATCTTTCAAGCTGTTGATTATAGAAACCATTGAATTTCTTGAAGTATCTTTTGTGCCATATGTAGATAATTGGGAATATTCAGCTAAACAGTGGAGCTTGCTGGCCGACCCTGCTACAGCTTGCTCATAATTACATGAGAAATATCCTCTCTGTATTTGTGTATAACACAGAGACCTCAAAAGAACCTAATTTAACCTATTCGTCTGAATATATCTGCAGATGCCACATGATAAACGTAATTGTACGTTGGTGCCTGTAGTTATCAAAGAACGTGGACGTTTTCACGTGTACCTGAAAATACATTCTCTATAATCTTTGTGCATTAGATGACCTTATAAAATGGAAGGACCTAATTTCTAACCTTGTGTTAATATGTATGTGTTTGGTCTGATTTCATTTTACAGGAATCAGTGTGTTCTTAGCTGTAACTGCTACTTAAAGGTCATGTTTTCCTGATAATATCATGATTATTCATGATCAGTATTACAAAGTAGGATGGAAAAATCAACTTTTCATCTGCTACAGATGCATAAACCTAAAAACTGTGCTGCCTTCTGTTGAACTTTGCAATGATTTAGCAGACTGCGTCTTGCTTTACAAGGCATGTTTAAATAAGTCTTGTTACTGCAATGTTTATGTCAGATGCTAGAAGGAATGGAGAACATAAGAGTAGTATTTCTTTGTCATAGTTGTGCATGCCAACCTAATACTTCATGTCTTTTTAATATTTATGCAGTATTTAACTTGACCAACAATGTGGATTTGGAGAACACCAAAAGGAAAATGGAGATGTACCAGAAGGATAACAAAGAAGTCATTCAGAAAAATAAGATAAAACTGGTTAGTTTAACTTCCCCCCCTCCCTACAATTTTTATTCATTAGTTAAGGATTTTCAAAGTGGAGTACTTTCTAAAATAATGTCTTAAAAACAAATAAAAGATAAAGGCATGATGTAGGCTTTCCTTTGTATTTAAAAAAAAAAAAAGCGTAATACACTAATATTCTGTGATACTGTTATTTAGCGCTGCTTAAAGAGATGAAATCGATAGCTGGAACATAATTATGCTTTATTTTGGGAAGAGCTTAAAAAAGGGGGCAGACAGAAAAGTCTGCATCTCGTACATCAGCACTGCCTGCCTGCTGGCAGTGTCATTGGACAATATCCAGGAGAGACCAAGTTCATTCCTATACCAGGACAATCATTCCTTTCTCATCTGAAGGAAAAAAGGAATCCAGACACAGACATTATGAAGCTCCCGAGAGAGACTTGTAAAACTGAGAGAAAGCAAAGGTCTGGTTTATACAAAATTTGAAATGAAAGATGTTGAAACAAACTTTAGAACTTTTGTTCAAGAGCTGATGATAGTATCAGGAGTATTGTATACATTGTCTGTATGCAAAACACATGATTCTTTGAAGATTTATTCATTTAAATATGGCTCAGATATCATTTTGTTCTTTAAAAATAAACTTACATGGATTTCTTTCTTTAAGAAAAGTATAATCTGCTAAATATTTTTTTCAGTTTTAAAAATATACATTGTCATTGGTTCCTGAAGGAAGACATCTGCCAAGAGTGTGACATAAGAGTTGTGTGTGTGTGTGTGTGTGTGTTCTAGTTGTACTAAGGACTCGCTTTCAAATCAGTAGGGGTGAAATCCTTGCTCCCCTGAAGTCTGTGGCAAAACTCCCAGTGATTTCTTCAGCACTGGGATTTCACGGGAGGAGGTTGGAATCTAAAAAATGTTTGTTTGAACCTCTTCCTTTTAAAGGCAAGGAAGTTTCCCTAGGGGTCCATCTCTGTTCTGTTATCCCGAGTCTGAGGCTGTGCGATATCCTATGCTTCAGAGGAACATAGAGCTTGAAGAGACCTTCCAAATTCTTGGCTATGTGTCTTATGTTACAATATAGGCGCAATCTCTAAGGTCGCTGTAACAATAGTGTTCTCTGCCTTCAGTCCATCTTCTGTTCACGTATGTTACTTGTAGGTAGCCTGTGCACTAGCATATCCAGCAGCTTAGCGGTACTCCATACCCACCCAGTAAGGCGCAGTCTAGCGGTGTCTCCAGGTACATGTCCCTGTAACTTTTCAGCTCATTTCTGCTACTCCTGTCCTCATGAGCGTGGTGTTCTTCATTACAAGTGAAAATATTAAGTTATTGAACCAGTTGCCTCAGGACTTGCAATAACGGCTTGTTCTTTCAAGAGAAGCCCTATTTGTCGTCTTTGCAGTAGTTTCTTATGGCCTTGCTATTCCTGTACTAACCCATCTGTTAGGTCTCTAGATTTAATGGAGGATCAGATGGGGAAAAATTAAATACATAGCTTTAGAATAAAAAAGAAATCCTAGAAAAATAAAAAAGCTGTATAACTTTTGGAGGATGGATTCTTATCATTTTGATAAGTTTATATTTCAAAAGCCTTGACTCCAAGCCTTGACCAACTGGGCTACAGTTTGCCCAAACCTGTCTTTTTTCCTTGAATGATCCCTATTCTCTGGGCATAGGATGACTTGTTACTTCCTACTTTGTTACTGGACGTCTAACCTCGTATTTTAGTTTGTTCACAGGTTTGAAATAGTTTTGTCTGGACTCCGTGATGTGAATGTGAAATTTTCTTGATTTCCCTTCCTTGAACACTATTCAGGAAACACTATTTCTATTTCTGTGAACTTCTTCCCATTTGTCATTTTGACTTTGCCCCAGGTTTCGCCATGATTGTTTTTATTACTGTGGATCTTGGGACTGTCTCTATCTTTAATCTGGACAGAACCCTTGGGGTCCTGTGGACCTCCTTTTGCTTCCCCTCCCCCAAACACACTGTTTTGTTTGGCCTTCCTTTCAGAAGGGATTCAATCTGACCTGTGGTTAATTCTACCTTTGTTCTTGTAGTCTGATCTGGTTTAGGTTTGTTTATAAATTTACTTATTTCTGACTATATATTTTTTTTCTGGGCTGGTTTTTCAGGCTAGGTCTCTCAGTTCTTCCCTAAGAGTTTTCTTTTGTTTGAGCGCAGATTCCGGGCAGCTTGCATGGTCTTAAAGACCCTGAGCTCTTGCATTCTGTTGACTGAACTAATTAGATCCCTTAATTGTCAGAAATAACCTCATTTGGGAATTTGAGGGTTTTTTTTGTTTATTTCATTAAATGTAAATGGAATCTAGTTTCAGTGGGTCAGTGACTGATCATTTTTATCCTCTGTCTCTGCTTCTCTTGTCTTTGAGCCCTCCCTTTTTACTATGATTTTGAAATACAGTTGACTTAATAGTTTACAGGTTAAAAAAAAACCCTTTTTAAGAGGAAGAATTAAATCCTGAAAAGAAAACTAGACTCCTCCTAGTAATTCTTTTTCTCTTGTGGCACATATGACCAAGTGGCACATATATCCAAGTTATGGAAAAAAATTTCTCATTTTCTGAGAATGTGACATTTCTTACAGTTCATGCTGAAGTATGTTTTAGCTCATGACAGACTTCTCCATTGATATTCACTGATTGTAATTTCTTATTTTTCTTCCACCCCACCAAAAGGAAGCGCACAGCGTACTTCCCACCCAAGATGCGCTTGACTCGGGGGAAGAGTCAGGAGCAGTACTGCAGTATTGCAGTACTATGTTTTCTGACACCCGGTTCCATCTCTTGAGGAGTCAGATGTGGGAACAGAGAGATGTCTTTTTGTTTTGCAGCTAAGGTGTAAGGAAAAGCCATTGTCATTAGCTAACATTTAAAGAGCCAGGATCCAGAGGATTTCTTTTCCTGCTGTAGAGAGCAGCAAGGGAAAATCTAATTTTGCACTGGCCAGTACGGGGAAGTGAAAACATCAGTCCTCACCTATAATGCCCCCTAAAAGGTAGAATTTGGTTGCTTTCCCGTTACTTGGTTTATCTTAGGTGCTCTGACAGGCAGCAGAGCTGTGGGTGTGAAGTCTATCCACTGAGGGAGGAAAATTGTTGCTAGAGGATTTCTAACGTTTCCCTTTCAGACTCGGGAGCAGGAAGAGCTGGAGGAAGCCTTGGAGGTGGAGCGACAGGAAAATGAACAAAGGCGACTGCTCATACAGAAGGAAGAACAGCTACAGCAGATTATAAAGAGGAAGAATAAACAGGCACTCTTGGATGAACTGGTGAGTACCAAAACCAGAGACTTTGAGTGTTGTGTAGCAGAGCAAGCAGCAAGTACGTTTACATTCATTCCTTCCACACTTGAATTGTGGAATTAACGTATCTGCCAGTTTCTGTTTCCCTATTTTGGACTCTTAATGTGTTACTGTTCTCTCGTTTATCATTCCTTTCATTGCTACACATAACTTTGAATGGTTTTGGTAAGCCAAGGACTGGAGAGAGGCTGCTTCTGGAAAATGACGAACTGGTTCATAGACTGCCTTGACTCAGTGTCCAGAATGCCTAGTGCAGCCAGAAATCAATTACAGGAAACTGTTTTGGGCTGCTCCAACACTGTATTAGTCCTAGATGAGATACTTTCAGAGGAAAAATGCAGAAGGTCTTTTTGGATATTGAGGAGTTTTGGGGTTTGTGTGTGTTTGTTTTTTCCCTGCTTCTACCTATTTTTCTTTTGGTTTATTTCCCAAGTGAGCTTCCATTCAAGGTTCTCTTGCTGCAATTTGGTATGTGGAGGTATAGTTCAAAAATTATTTTAGTGCGTCCACCCACTCTCAGTTTACTTAGCAATTGATATTTGACTGCGTACCTGTGGAAGAGTAGAAATCTGGAGCTTTACAGGAGCTGAATTCATTGAGAACATGAAAGCCCCAAGCTTTGCCTGTGATGCAAGGTGACTTGTGTTAGCATAGTTGATACGGTTACTGCTCCACCTGGAACCTAATACATGGATGGATGAGGTTTTGTGTTATGTCTGAGCCTATGTGACTGCCCGCTGGTGTTGCCTTCAGCTGCTGTCGTTGCATCTGTTCTGGGGCATGTCAGATCATGCCTTGTTCATGAGAAGGGTAGGGAGGAGCTGCTAAGTTGGTTCAGCCGTAGTGTGAAATCTCACCGCTGTTTGCTTGTTAAGCAATCCTGAACTGCTGCGGTTGATAACCCAGTGTGTTTGAAGCAAAGTGGTGGTCAGGAGCTACTTGGTGAGGCCGGCCTCCTCTGCAGTGAGGAAACGGTGGAGAGCAGGGGGCAGCAATCTCGGAAGTTGCTATTCCAGTGTTAGTCAACCCTTTCCGAGTTGGAGCACCTAAATGATAGGATGGGCACGGATCACAGGAGACTCTGCGTTGAGTCAGAGTGAACGTTTACTCGTTCAGTAGCCTCTGTTTAGCAGTGCCAGTGGTAAGTGCCTAGGGAAGAGCGCAAGGGCAGGGCTAATCCTGGAACGCTTTCCCAGCTTTGATGGGGCGAGTTTTTCCCAAGGAAGTTCTGGGAGAAAACCAGCTTCCTGAATCAGAGGTGGTCTCTCTGAATGTAAAAACTCCTAGGAGAAAAAGATACCATGCTTTGGATGTGTCACGCGGTCTTACTGCAAGCATCTTTTGTGAGTCACTCCTTTTGGAGTGTACGAAGCTTCAATTCATTCCGAATGTTGTATAGACTTGAAACAAACACAGGCTACTTTTGAAAATTGTCTTTGTGTTCCTTCCTGGTTTACTACTGTTGCTACATGTGAAATGCAGTGATGATTTGTGGGCAAAGAATCCCACTAAATGTATTCTTTAAACAAGATTCACATCTCAATATGTATCTTTTTTTATACACAAGCATGTATAAAAAGAACAGTGACATACCCACACACACGCGTGCGCTCGCACGCTAAGACCGGTGAGAACAGTCTATGTGTACCACTGAAAAAAATCAGAAAACAGGAAAACATGTACATGTGTGCAGTTATGTCACTACATGGCTTAAACCTGCTTGGCAGATTGAAATAAGAGGGAAATACTGATTTCAAAGTACGTCACGTTAATATAGCACTAATTTCTGCTTTGCATTCTCAGTCCTTATTCAGGACGTAGATGGCTTTCTCTTTTCCCAGGGAAGCGGAGTTCCTCTTTGAACCAGTGCGGGAGGCACTGATAAGACATGGAGAGAGAGAGCATCGGGGTGTGATTTCGGGGTTTCGGGAGCTGTGCTGAAGAGCTGGCTTGTTCCAGACTGGGGGTCATGGCACCCTTTTGTTGGATTTGTTGATAGGAGCTGAAGTCTGTAGCTTTGCATCTAGCAGTCTCTTTTTCACTTTAAAGGTTAAAAAAAAAAGAAATGTTTACACTCTACACAACCAGGAATAGTTTGAGTAGCGGATCAATTAATAAAAACTCCACTATGAACCCAAACTTAATGGCTCAGAAGAAGGATTTTGAACTGATTTCTGACTTTATAAAATGTATTCAGTCCTGCTCTGAAATACACTTTTAATTTAGTAGAGACCAGTGTTGTTTTCTTACACAGCAGTTAGTTTTACTGGAGACCTACTTCACCAGATGGCTTGAGAAAAGAATGGTTATAAGTAATCCTTAATAGATGACCAAAATAGGTACTTTTAACTGAGATTGCATGTGTATTGCTGTTAAAACATTCTTAATATTCTAAAAATAACAGAAAGGTGATTTTTAAAGGCAGAGGAAGGAAGCTGGGAAACATTAGGTTGTGTCTCTGTTTATGAAAGGGCACCGTCAACTTAAATTTGGGCCAAAACTTGTTTGTTGTAGTACTAAAAGTTTATAAAACCAGCATTGAAGTGTTTGTGCAATGACTTATAGTCTCTGGAAAACCAGTGGTGGTTAAACAAACAAACATTTCCTATACTCTCTGAAATCCCTGTAATGCTGCGCTGCATATCTGAAAATGAGGCTGATCACAAGTAGAAGCGAAACGTGTGCTGTGTCTAGCAGAAAGGCAGAAATGAGAAACGCAGCAGGAACAAGCATAGGTGATAAAAATGTAAAGACTTGTTTAAAAAAATTCTTATACCTATGGTGGCTGGTATGTACTACAGGCACATGGATTAAGCTCTGGGTGCAGCGATATCAGTGGCAAAACTAGTGACGTGGCAGGACTGTGCGTATAGGGGAAGGTGGGAGGGACAGCATTTCAGCCTTGAATTTGGAACCGCCTTTTGGGCGCATCACCTGGTTTTTGGAACCTATAGCCCTAAGATGTAGATCTTGATGGCTTTTCTCTTTTGCTCATACTAGGCAGTAAGAGGAAACCTAAGGCAAGTATTTGAGTGATGCGTGCAGAGGGGTCTCAACTCTGTCCCGGTGAGACAGCTTTTGGGGTGTCCAGAGAGAGGAGAAGGTCAGGACTGCACACCTCCCTGCGCTTCCGAGAAGAATTTTGCCTTTGGTGCTTAAACTGATTATGCAGCGCAGGACTGAGGAGATTCGTAGTTTCTTAAATGTATTATTTACTGTGTTACAACAGCGAGGAGAAGCCTCAGTTGTTCACAAAGGTGTACAAGAACACTGTCCTGCCTTCACAGAGCTTATAGTTAAGTAGTCCAGAGGCAGGGGAAAAAGGCACAGAAACATTTGATATTTAAAATGTCGTGCAGGAGGTTCTGGCTTCTGGTTGGCCTGAAGAGCTCCGCAGGTGAGGTGGAAAGGAGCAGCCTCGAGGCTGAGCCTCGAAGGACACGGCCTCAGCTGGGAGCTGAGAGGGAAGACCCAGGGGCCTGCTGGAAAGCCAAGGACAGCATCGCGGGCAGCTCGGGCTCTGAAGGCTCCTGGAAGAGAAAGCAGGTGTTGCAGCTCCCGGTTGTGGGCTCTTACCCATCGCCCGTTTTGCTTCCCATACTAAATTAGGCAGATTTTTTAATTGCTGTCATTATAAATGACCTCTTTTAAAATAACACCTACTGCTTTAAAGACAACACAAAGCACCCTGTTGTAATTTAATTTGTAGTCCCAAGTGGATTTGACTTTTTGTTGGAAGAAGCTTTTTTTTTTTTAAAAAAAACCTTCCCAACTTAGATAACCAGGGCTGAGTAAAATATTAAAGCGCTGCCTTGCTTTACAGTGTAAACTCTCTGTATACAAATGATTGCGGAGCTGCTGTTAGGTGTCGTCTGTGTTGTGGGCCTTGCGCTTACCTCTTTGTGCTGGCAGGGTGCTGAGGCCACGCGTCCCGGTACGGAGCAAAATGGCACTGCAGCATACAGCCAAGAGGCAGGTTTCCCCAGGCCCTGGCACAGCTCGGGATCGAGCGGATGGCAAGGCGACTTGAAGACATTAAACGTCGCTGCGTTCACTAGAACCTCAAGGCTTTTAAGACAAATTTTTTTTGCGTATAAGTAGGTTTTGGTCAGACAGTCATCAGTTCGCTTTTGCCGTGCAGAAAATTGCTAGTATGGATAAACGCATGCAGGATTGGATCTTCAGTGCCTGTTTCTGTGTTAATAGTTAACAGAAGGACTACGCGCATGTTAGAAAGGACAAACAATCACGGACGTGGTGGCTTGTTGGCACAGCGTCGAGTTCCCACAGTTGGGTAATCTGGTTGCCAGTCATCACGCTAATGTGAAACTGCTGAGAAGTTAGTGCCGAAATTGGCTTCATTTAGTTACTGTACTGGAAATGCAGCAAGCATTTAAAGAATATAGGACGGCAAAACGAACCAAGAGACCGCTTCTTGCTCTTCCCTCCCTCTCCCAGCATATTAAATCTGATGATTAAACGAACTCAACATTTTAAAATTCTGCTGACAGCTAGCAGCACGTGGGGCTGGGTGGTGGAGTTATGGACATGTACAACTCTTTGAAGATGCAGACTCTAAACTTATACATTTTTGGTCCAAATTTTCTCCCAGTTGTACAGAAATTAGATATCCCTTATCGTTAGAGTTTAGGGTTTTTTTTACATTCCGATTAACCCCTGGTTACTCTCAGGAGTTTGGGTGGGATCCTCTTAGTTATATTGTTCTTCAGTCTGAACCAGTTCTCGCTGTGTAAGATTTTCTGCTTTTAGCACTTGCAGTTTAATTGTAAGACAAAGTAGGTGTAACAAACAATAGAGAATAGAGAGGAGGAAGAGTGATGTGAAAGTAGGTGTCCAGCAAGGCTGTTCATGATCATTTCAGGAGATTTCTCTAAGACGTGAAGACTAGCAAGGCATCTCGCTGCATTAAAAACGTCAAGCTTCTTACTCGAGGCTGTTATAGGTAAAATATATGATCCACAGTCCAGTTTATTAAGTTCAGTTGTTCTTGGCGAGTAGCAAATACGGTTCATAGTTCAATATTTACTTGGTTCCTTGAAACAGAAGTATATATGATATTTGAGTGTTTTATGAATAACATTTTGCACTGGAAAACTCTGGGAATAATCCGTTCTGAACTGTTTTCCTGCTCTCAGCTTTACTTTCATTGTAGCTGGGAAAATTAGAGGATTTCAGTGTGCATGTGGATAGTCAGACTAGTTTATTAGAAAATTACTTGGGCAATAATTTTCTGGCTCTCTCAAGAATGTAGTATGTATATGTATGTTAATAATCAATCTGTTGTAGCCTAAACACGAGATTTTAAGTAGTTAATTTGCTTGACTATTCATTTTATTACTTTTATATATTTTTTAAAAATTGGCTGGCTTCCCTAAAAATAAGTTGGTAAAGGAGAAAATAAATATGCTGTTGGTTGCACTTACAATAGTGCCATTGTGCAAAGCAGAGCAAGGATCATTTCCAAACGGCCTCAGGTGAAATCTAATGGGAAGCAATTTCAAACTGGTCTGAGTTCATTGGTAGAAAGAATGCGTCTTAGATAAACATCTGATCCAAGTTATACTACTTTGTATTATTCCTTCTCTGATTGAGTTTGTTTTTTTTCTTTTAATTTTAATAAATATAGTTGCATTGGTTGATTGGAATAAGGAGCCTGTTATATTGTCTTTAATGTGGATTCTATAACAACAGTTGTTTGTGGGTTACTCTGATTTATGGGGTTGCTACAGCTTTTTCCTATTACCGAGAATGATCGTTTTCTGTAAACTGTTCCTCCTATAGAGGATGTTTAGCATTACGCAGCTCTGCTAGTGATGGCCTTTCAGACACAGTTTGCAGTTTCGGAGAACATGCGGTGTTAATATATATTTTGTTTTAATATTCAGATTTGTTATTCTTGTGTTTACAGGAGAGCTCCAGTCTTCCTGCTTCCCTGCTTTTAGCTCAGCATAAGGACAGATCTACTCAGCTAGAAATGCAGCTGGAAAAACCCAAAACTGTCAAACCAGTCACGTTTTCCACAGGCATCAAGATGGTAAGACTTGCTTTTTTCCCTTTTAAAAGACCCAACTTTTCCTAGTATGAGACTTAGAGGTCTCATAAACCTTTAAACTTGACTTGCATATTGTACAGCATAGATTAATTCCTAATTGGTTATTTAATTGTAAGAAAACAGTCTAAGAATTTCATCATCCTGCTAGTTGGAATGTATGACATCTCTTTATTGCATGCTTGTCCAAAAATGAGCTATTTCTTTCCCCCTGCAAAGTTGTGTGGTATTTGGATTTTTTTTATATCTTATTTGTGTCACAATTCTGGAGGTTGAAATTTTGGAATCTTAAGTAAAGGCTGCACTTTCTTCAGTTTTACTATAACTCGAGAAAAAAATCTGTGAGTATGAGACAGAGAACCACTTGGCACTGTTTTCCAGATTAAGGATGCTATTTTAATTGTTACTGGAATCTAGGAAGCAACAAGTATTTTGTTTCAAACGTGCTAGTTAGTGCTACTGTGACAGCTAAAGATCTCTCAGCGTTCCTGTTCTTTGTCACAGCATAGCACAAGTGCGCATCGCTGGAATGCAACTTCTTTAAGCTTTTTTTTGTTTGGAGAGGCCGGGGGTATTTTAAATGTGTTACGGATCTTTTTTGCACCTCACTGATTTCCTGTTTCTCAACACATCTTAAAAAATGCACGTTTTAGACTGTATTTTAGATGCCAAGTGATGTATTGAAAATAACCCCCCCCAACAAACAAAAAAAGAAGCAAAGCAAAAAAACTTTGCTTCAAACTAGGCTCCATCAATTAATCTGTTTGGTCAGGGATATCTGTACTGTGTTTGCTGTCTGTACGTTTCCCCCAAGAAGTTCAGAGTGTAATAGCATTTGCAGCTTATTTTTCCAAAACTGGTGTCGGCTTTTGTGAAGTTTTGCAGATTGCTCTCTAGTGTTCCTGTAGTATAAACCGTATTGTCTTCCTTTTTCTTTTCAAAATCTGAGAGTTTGGAGGGAGATTGATATGCTCCAGGATGCCCTTCTGGGGTGTTTAGAAAAGCTGGTGGACAGAAAACGTTCATCTTTCAGTTTAAAAAATATCCTAAATGAACGCCTGTGCTTTTTCTAGCTATTAGAATATGTTGTTGGCATTTTTTCAAACAGTTGTTTGTTGTGTGAAAGAAGAAAGAAGATCTGATTATACTACGTGATGAGGACAATGGAAGTACTTTGTATTCCACAGTATTAATGTGGAGACAGGCGTTTTAGGTCTGCAGATTTAGGTAAACTTCGTCCAAGACTGGTAAAAGAATTGGATGAGGAGATTTCTAGCATCGTGCCATTTACATCTTAATGTTTACGATAAGAGGGGTGGAAACTCCAGGTGAATCAAAGGGTGATAGTTATTTTATCAGTGTTCAGAAAGTGTGAGTAGAGTAGTGCAACTGGTTCAGTCCTAGGTAAAAACAAACAAAACCTGACTGACCTTCGTCCTAGATTAACAAAGAACAACTTAAAAATTAAGAATAAATACCCCTAACAAAAAAGCAAAGGATAAGCATTTTTAAAGCTGGAGATTATTGTTTTGTGAGAAATGGATTACGTGAAGCAAAGTAGATTTTACTCTGATAAAATTACAGATTTGGCTGAGAAGGAAGAACGTTTCCGTATTTTCTTTTAGAAGGTACTTGATTTAGTTACTACACATCATTGATTAAAAAAAAATAATAAAATTTACATTATACAATAATACAATATTGATACTCTCCACAGTAAATGGATTAACCGGCTAACTTGCAATTTTTCTAGCTGTTGGTTGCCATAGCATGGAAATATTTCTGTGGGTGTTCTGCACGGACACAGTTCAGTATTTGGAAGCAGATGTTGAATTTCTATGGATGACGTGCAAGTTGGCAGAGTGCGGGGCAGTTTTGACAAGCTGGCCTCATTTGAATGAAATGTGTTTTAATATGGCTAAATGCAAAATTATAAATAGAAGAATAAATACCAGGCTCTGTGAGGCGGATTTGGAAGTCTAGCTAGACAAGTAAACCAAGCTGACCCTCAGCCACAGCATCTGGGTAGGCTTTGGCTTATGTGAATGGTGCTGGAATAAATAGGAAAGGGCTTGACTTTTCGTTTGGTAAGACTTGCACACTGAAGACTTCTGCTGACTGCATTTTGAACGCAAAATCTGGAAAGAACACCGATGAGAGCCACCGACGTTCGTTCGAGGGCAGTAGGATGTGCTTGGTAGTGCGAGTTGCGCATATAGCTTATGAGAAGGTTAGGACGTGACTCATTGTACAGTAAGCCCCTCCTCAAGGGGGAAAATGCCAGGTCTGAACAGTGTAACAGTAAATGTAACAAGAAGCAGGAGCCTAAGTTAAACAAATAGGACCTAAATGGGAACTGAGGGAACAAACAAGAGCTGAAGTTCACAATGTTCCAATGGGTAATTGCCCTCGCTGCTAAAATCGACTGAGGGATGTGATGAAATCTCTAGTTCTTGATGCCTTCAGATCAGGCCTGGGACACCCACTGGAAAATTGTCAAATGCAAGCTGTTGAGCTCAAATCGGAGGTAGCTTTATAAAATGCAACAGTGTTCAGTGTGTATGATTTGGTGGCGTAGCTGATGGTCCATGGCAATGTATTCTGGTGACAGCGTCAGGTGAATTCCCACACCGCCTAATATGCGTAACGTGTCCCAGGCTGAGGTTTTTCTGAAAATCCGGAGGTGCTCAGTCCTCCTGTTTTGTATAACCACATGCTTGGAATCGGGAGGGATTTTGTTGCACAGCTCTGCAGGGCCAGGACTCCGTCGTGCCTTGCGTTGCTTTAGCTCTGCTCCTCTCTGACCCATGGGGCTCGCGCCGCCTGTGCTGGAGGGGGCAGATCCTGGGTGGTGCTGAGTATTTGTTAAACATACTGTTCGAATTAGTGCTCCGTTTGGCCCTGCAGCTTTGCAAGTCAAGTGCTATTGCTGTGAAAAGTCATTTTCAGGTTCAATATTAAAAAGTTTCAGCCACACGCAGGTAACAAGTCACTATGTACCATCTTCCTCTGTGCTTTTTTCCTAGTAGCTTGGGCCGCTGACCTTTTCTGGTGGTGCTTTCCTTAAGTTTCTCACAGGAAGGGAATCCAGATAGAGCTAGCTGAGATGCATGGCTAATCCTGAGCTTATGTTTACAAAAAGGCTTTAAGAATATGCCAGTTGTGGCACTCCACATTTTGGGGTTTTTTTTTTTTTTTTTCCAGCTTGAACATGTGTTTTGCCTGGGATGGTCTCAGTTAGAGATGTTCTTCAGCCTGACTGATAATTGGACGTGTTTCTCCTCTTCTGAATGAAGAGGCATGCCCGCTCTCGTCGCCTGGGCAGTGCTCAAGGAAGTTGGCTCATTTAAGGTGGCTTATTAGTGCTGTGGAGTCCCTCTACTTACAGGGGTAGAAGGTAGCGTCTTTCACTGGTAAGCTAAGTAAGAGCATCCCCTATAGCACAGGAAAGAGGATTAGATTATGGGGATAGGGTCTCCTTCCTTAATTTTTTATTTTGTTAGATTGGGGTGGGGTTTTTTTTTTGTCCTTTCTGAGCAGGAGCTGCTTTTTCTTTGCAGTCTAGTGGAACACATCAACAACTTCTTCTAAATTTATGTCAGTAGGTTATATCTTCCAGACCTTAAGCATATCTTCCTAATCAGTCAGCCTGATTTACCCCTATAAGTGGGGGAAGTGCTTCTGACCTTTTCTGCTTGTCATATTAGGGAACAGGCTTTCTGCATATTTGAATATTTAAAATGTTATTCTCATTGAATCTAATCTCAAATCAGCGTAAAACTACTAAAGAAATTATAATCTTAATTGCGTGTCTTGCAGTAGTGCTGAAAATACTATTTCCTGCCAACGCTTGTACTTGAACAGATTTTAGTATCAGTCAAACAGAGCAAAGGTGGTTGGAAATAAACTTTTCCAGGATTTCCAGGGCTTTTCAGGGTGTGCAAACCAAATCTACTGTCTGAGAACAGAAACATTCTTCCGTTCCTTGGTGAATGTAAGATTGTTTCTGGTTGGGAGATGGTTTTAATGGGAGGCCGATTCTAAGGTGTAAGAGGTGCTCGGAATGCATTGGGCATGAGTGGCAGCTTGCAAACGTAGCAGGAATTAATTTCATTACAGTAATTCTAGGGTGTTTTTATTATGTTTCTGCTGCTTACAGGACTGCAGGAGACTTTTGGTACTTACAGTTCTGTGCTTTGCATTACCATTGTGGTTAAAAGTGCATAGGCTCAGATCTGTAGAAGCACTGAGATAAATTTTAACTCCACTTTATTTCTTTGGGAGCTGGGAACATGCAAACCTTGGAGTCTGGGACCCAGCTCTTTGCATGTTTGTTAAAAGTATGAATGTCACAGGCTGGCTTGAGTGAATGCTATCTTAAGCGATGTTTCAGGCTCCATGCCCTGTTCCTTTTCTGTTGCCTCCAGTTTTTCTTATGTTTCTTTGCTTCCTTCCCCTATTCTTGAAGTAATTTCATGTAGTTAAAAACTCAATTACCTTTAATTGGATTGCCCAAATAGGCAAGAGAAGAACATAGATATTCTCTGGCCTGCTACCATGCGCGAGAGCTTTCCCTTTACATTTTATAACCAAATACCTCAGAAGTAGTATAATGCACCATTGATCATTCAGTGTTTTTGTTTTTATTACTGAATAGCAGCAGGGAGTGTTTATTAATAGAAATATTAGTAGATACTGAGACGAAGGGTTCATTGTGTTGTGTTTCTACACGCTTAGGGCCATTACTAAGATGGTCACTGCCACTATGAATTTGCAGTTTAAATAGATGCCTCGGGGAGGGAGGGGAACCAAATGCACAGAGGGGATGCAACTTGCCCAAGGTTAGACAGCACACCAGTGGCAGAGGGAGGAATAGGAGCTAGACCTACTAAACTCTTTAACCTTCAACAACTTCTGTCTTAAATCACAGCGCTGACATTAATCGTAATTTTCTGTGTCTGAATATTACCAGGATTTTATTCCAG